TCCGGGGCGCGGCCCCCCCCCCAGCAGCAGCCAAAGAGAGGAGAAGCAGCGCCTGAAGCCACAGAGCAGGGCTGAGGCCACCACGGTGAAGAGGTGCCCATGCCAGCACTCAACAGGTCCAGGATTGCTCGGGGACCATACCCCTGGATCTGCAGCAGAGGCAGAGATTTAAACCAGCTCCAAGAAGGAGTTTTAACCAGGAGGGCAGTGGGGACACCGCATTGCCACGTGGTTTGGTCTACCCAACCTGGCACAACATCCGAGGAGATGCCATCAGTTGGTGAGGGTTGGTGGCACGGGACATGCCGTGAAGCACCCCCAAATGCTGAGGACATCCCTGAGGACGTTACCTGAGATGGATGCAGGTAGGGCTCGGGGGAGGCCAGGTTGGTCTGGACAGAGACACTCTTCTCCAACAGGATCTGGGGGAAGCCCAGCTTCTCGAAGGTGTTCCTTTTCCAGTGCTTGTTCTCCTGCTGCGCCAATGCTTCGTCCTCGCTGAAGGCTCGCACCACCGGACCCGGCATGGGTAAAGGGAGAGCACCATCGCTCTCATAGCCTGAACCGTCTTTTTGGGAATCCCAGCTGCTCCGTTGCTTCATGTGGTAGTGGGCTTGTCGGGCTTCCCAAGCCAAGCGTGCCTGTGCCAGGAATGGCTCCGGAAAGCCCCGCGCCGCCTCTGCCTCCACCGCCTTGCTTTCTGTACGGTTCATTGGTGACCGGTTGGGTCCCGGGGTGGCTCGTTCCTCGCTCAGCATCTGCTCACCCAACACCTCCCGGTCCCCCGAGCCGTCCGTGGAGGAAGTGTTGGGGTCGTGCGACGAGGAAGGCTTTCGGCTTTTCCTCTTTCTGGTGGAAGGTGAGTAACCGGTGGAGGATAAAGTGTCCTGTTGGCTAGACCACGACATGGAGTCCTCACCCTGGGCCACTTGGCCACCTGTTGGGCCAGGGCAGAAGTCCGGTCCCTCCATGCTGCTGTAGTCACCTGATTTGATCTCCAAGCGTTGATCACGGACCAGGCAAGGGCTGTGCTGCAGCGAGTAGGAGCCACCAATGGGGTTGGGTGAATATTTATGCCTCAACCCTGTCTTCATCTTGGGGCTGGAGCCCGACTGCTCAACGTAGACCAGTTGCCTGACGTACTCCTTGCCGGCAGGGCTGTACTCCAGGCTCATGAACCGGTCGGGACACTTCTGTTTGGTGAGTACCAACTGCTGGTAGGGCGAGTTGGAGCCTTGCTTGGGCGACTGAAGGAAGGGGTGAGGTTTACGGACGGGCGATTTTTGTGGCGAGCCGGCTTTGTAGCTCCCGCTGGCTTCGTACTGCATGTCCACAGGGGGTTCGTCGTAGATGGGAGCTTGGTACTCCATGGGGGGTTCCTCGTAGAGGGGAGGCTCGTAGGCGTAGCGGGGCGAGGAGGGCTGCGACTCGCTGGAGTGTTTGCGGTGCTGGGCTTGGAGCGGGGAGCAGAATGAATCCCCCCGGCCGAGCAGAGGTGAGCAGCTGCCCATGTGCTCAGCCCTCTTCAAGAAGGGTGATTGCTTTCTCTCAGGGAAGAAAACAGAGTTGTCGGAGTCGGAGGCGAAGGTCTGGAGGTTGGGAGACTGTTGGCCCCCTGAAGGTCGCCGCGAACGGGTGCCCGGTTGGTTTTCGGGTGCGTAGCCGTTGCCTTGGTGCATAAGGAAGCTGGGCTCGCGGTCAGTCACCTTGATCAGCATCCGTTCCTTGGTGCCGGCGTTCCATCTCAGGGACGATGTTCTGCGGGGAGAAACACGGTGTCACTGTCAGCGAGCAAAGTCCCCTGTGCCCATGGGGGGACAGCCACACCCCATAGCTCTGCCCTAGGACCCCCCAGACCCTCAGTAGCAGCAGAGCCCAAAGGATGGACATGACCAAGCACCCCAAGCCTCTCCCATCAGGTGAAGAGTGCGTTGGGTGATGGAGAGACCAGGACATTCAAATGCAGCAGCACCGACCCGCATCCCTCCCTGGCCCCTGCGGACCTCAGCAGCCCCCAAGGACACAGAGGCTGGAAAACCAAGCCCCAAAAAGTGATGACTTCCCTTGGAGCACATCTCTAGGAGACCAACAGCAATGGAGGAGCAAGCATGGACATCTGCTGGGGACAAGCCTGGGGGCAGACATCCATTTGGGACACTTTCATGGGTGTTTGGCATGCACAGTCCTTGCAGGGAGTGTGGACTGAGCCCACCATGGTCCCAACCTGGGACGGGCCCCTTGCTGGGATCTCCCATCCCATGGAGAGGAGAAGATGCCTACACAGAGCCTCATCTCTCCCACCTCTTCTTGCTTTCCATTCCTCGTGGCACCCAGGATTAACCCCTATCACCCCCTCCATCCAGCCCCCAGCCCAGGATTAACACCCTTCTTTGGTTCCCAACTGGAGCTGGGTTATGTTAAAAACCAGGAAAAACCAATAATCCTGACCACTGAAGACAAAAACCTTGAAAACACAACCCCGACCTGCACAGAGATGTCCCAGCCCCATGAAACGCAAACATCCCGTTGCTTCGTACCCCAAGATACTTCTGGCAGCACCGAGGTGGGGTACGGATATGCCGGGGCAGGGAGAGGAGGGACAGCTGAGCCAACTGCCTAAACCCACACAGTGCATGGACACCTCAGTCTCCATCTCCAAAGGGATGGAGCACAAGCTGCCCTCCATGCCCTTCATCACCCAAAAAAACTCGAGGGCCAGCCCCGGATGGGATGACCAGCTGCTGGAGCAGTGGTGGTGTATGTCCATTTCTTCTTCTTGATGCTCAAGCTCGCTGCATCCCTCAGCCACTTTGCAATCCGTGCCATGATATCCTGCATGCTTCCATTGAGCGTCAATGTGGAACGTTCTATAGCATCTTGCTGGAAATTTCCTGGTGGAGCCCATTTTCATCCATACAACACGCGTGGGTCAACAAGCACGAACATGGACCTTCTGAATTCTGAGATGTGAATAATCATCCCCAAATTGACACCCAACAGGCAGCTTCTGCAGCAGTCCTGGTGGGAACAGGGGTGGAAGCTCAGCTGGGCAACGCGCCGAGTGCACCAGGAGCTCACCTGAGCAGGGCTCAGCGGAGACCAACTCATCCACAGGTGAAAAAAATACTGGAGCCACCAACCAGAGCCAGGAGGAGACCTCCTTCATCATTAATGAGAAGATGAGACCATCTTCTCATTAAGGCATTTGATAGTCCTGGTGGGTAACATCTCCTCTGAATGATGATGTGTCCTGCAAAGCTGGGTTTCCCACCACTGATGCTCCAGCAGCACGTCTGTGTGTTCTCTGTTTCAACCCTAATTGGAATTTGCAATGAATCAAAGAGGTTTTTTTTTCTCTTTATTAATAATACAGGGGCAGAAATAATTATAATCCCAGGATAATCTTGGTCCTGCGGGATTAACTCCTTGGGACAGGGCTGCAGGGAGCTGTGCAACCTGGGCAAGGCTGGTTGGGCTCCATCTGGGCTGGTTGGGCTCCATCTGGGCTGGTGAAACCTTCTGCTCAGGGTCCTGGGATGAGCAAGAAAGCCCAAGGAGTGGAGAATAACTCAACCCTTCTCAAATGAATCCATCTCTCCTGGGGCAGCTCCAAGCTGGCAGATCATCCACCGTGGAAAAACTGCCCCTCTACAGGAGGGTGGACATCAAGGCTTGGACCAACTCAACACCTCAAGTTACCACCTCCTTGCAAAATAAAGTATCAAATACTCGGAGGAGTAAAACTTCAGCCAAGCTTGGGCTTCAGCTTTAGACATGTCTACACTTCTCCAGCCTCAAAGGGAACTGCCACTTTGTTTGGGACATTGCCCACCGCCTTGCCAGCGTGCTGCTGTCAGATGGGGAGTAGGAGAAAATAATTTCATAACCTCATCATAAACTTGGGCAAGAGGCAGGAAACAAATCTCCCAGATGTAGGTTGTGACGTTGGAGCTGGATGGAGATGCCTCCATCCTGCAGGCACAGCGGGGATGGGATTTCTACCATGTTCTCCCCACAATACTGGGTGACCTTTGGGGACCAACCCTTTTTGCTGTGCTACGTGGAGCCCGTTGGTGGAAAATGTGATGGAACACACCATCTCCAGATCCCCCACCACCAGCACAGCTCTCAGAGGTCACACTGGACAACCCATCAGCCTTGGCTCTAGTTCTGGTGCCAAAACGTCCAATCTATGTCTTGCCCAACTTCTCACCACTCACCACTTTTGGTGGATCTCATGGATCCCCTTATATGCCAAGGTGTAGCATCATTTAATCATAGAACGGTTTGGGTTGGAAGGGCCCTTAAAGATCATCAATCTCCAAACCCCCTGCCATGGGCAGGGACACCTTCCACCAGACCAGGTTGCTCAAAGCCTCACCCAACCTGGCCTTGAACACCTCCAGGGAGTTGCCACATTAATGAAGAATTAAACCTGCTCCCCTGCTTTTGTGGGAGCATGGCCAAAGGAAGATCTTCTGCACCATGTCCTGAAGGTTGAAGATGGCTCCTTTTTTCTCTGAGATGGCACCTCAGCCTTCTCATGCTGCCTTCCCCACTTCTACCTCCTTAAAACCAAGCTTTGGTTTTCCTCTTCACCACCCTTGTTGCTCTCCAGTTGTTTCCACCTTGTCCAAAAGATTTCATGGCTACTGGTGGGGGGATCCTGCAAGCAGAAGCTCTTCTGCCCATCCACAACCCAGCAAAAGTGGGGTGGCACACGGATCACCCCAACTAGCAGGGGGTTTTCACCCACTAAATCCACGTTTCAGGTCCTTGGGAGATGCTGTCCAGGCAGGGGACGCTCAGAAGAGCCAAGGTGTTTTTTATGGAGATGCTGAAATCATTGCCTGTCTTGCAGGAGGGATCCGAGCTGGAGTTTGCTGCTGTCTCCAAAGCATGGGGAAGCACATCATGTTATTAATTCCTCTCCAAGTCCCATGCTGGCACAGAAGGTACGAGAGGCACCGTCTGCAGCACGTCTGGGAGCACAGGCTGCTCCCCCAGTTCATTCCTCTCTCTGTTTCTCAGCTATTTTTTCCCAGCTACTTGTCCTTTCTGTCCTTCAGAAAAAGGTGGAGTGAGTCCAATTACTGAGTTTTGCAGAAAAAATGCCCACAAAGAGTCATAAAAATCTCCCCACATGAGGTCCCACCATCTCCCAGCACCCTGCTCATCATTTGCCCACGATTTTGTCCTCACCACAGGGGACGTGGGGAACAATTTCTTCCTTCCCTTTCTGCCGCAGCCTTTCAAGCTCCTGAGGACTTGAGCCTCCTGCCAGCTTCTTGCTGTTGAAGACCTGTATGAGTTTGGGTCCCTCCTCATCCCTCCAGATGGGTTTTTGGATCTCAACCACTCATCAAGCCCTTCCAGACCCCCAAAACTCCCTCCACAAGTGTAGAAACATGCCCTGAACAGCACGAACAGGGTGATGGGTGAAAGCCTTCCTGGGTCAGAACCCCCAAGAAATGCTTGGCTACATCACCCATCATCAACAGGCTAAAAATTATGAGTGAAGTGAGAAGATAGATATGCTACGGAGACTGCCAAGGACCGATTTCATCCCCCTCCTGCTCCATCATTAATTTTCCATCCCATTTTCCCACCCATGCCCAGGCGGTGAGTCCAGAGGCAGCCAGCGGGCGAGAAGCGATTACAAACCTACCAGCAATGAATCACCATCCCACTGCCACGTGGACATTAACCAAAGTCTCCTCTTCCTTCATCAATTATCCAGCCACAGCGGATGCTCATTTATTTCCACCATGTTTACTAACTGCAGTAATTACATCCTAGGTCACTGGCCTGCTCTTAATATATTTCAGAAACCACTGTTGGCTGCATGACACCTCCATGGTCATCATTCTGGTTCTGCCACCGAATTAAAGAGCTCAAGGTCCAGTTTTCAGGTTGGAAAGCACAAGGTGCTCTTGCAATGATGGAGCTGGTTGTTTAACCCACCCTGTGGTACTCACCACATCCTCATCACCTCCCCTCTGGCTCATGCCACCGGCTAGGACCACAGTTGAGCAGCCACCAAGACAGATGGAGACTTGCATCTTGAGGATGATGAACTAGAAGAAGGGATGGACAACTGGACCAAGGCTGGGCAGAAACCAGGGAAATCAGAGCTGGAGCGATGTGGTGGAGCTGCTGGACTGGGACACTCCATGGGGCTGTAGGGCACCAGTCCTGGCTTCCTCACGTGCTTTTTGATGCTTTCTTGGCCAACCTGGCATCAGCCAAGAGCTTTTGGGGAGGAACCAGGGCAGTGTGGATGAGGTAGAGCACCAGCCCTGCGATATGCAGGACACATACAAGGTGTGTCCAAAGCCCCCCTGATCCATCAAGGTGACACTGGTGGGACAGCAAAGAGGATGACGGGGATGTGTGGCCGTTCTCCTGGGTCAGCAAAGTTCTTTGCAAAAGAGCAAGACATCTCCAAAGCTACGGGAGATCAACCTGACGGTGTTTCCTCCAAAGCTACGGGAGATCAACCTGATGAAGCTTCTCTCCAAAGCTATGGGACATCAACCTGATAGAATTTCTCTCCAAAGCTATGTGAGATTGACCTGATGGGAGTTTCTCTCCAAAGCTATGGGAGATTGACCTGCTGGTGTTTCCCTATTACAAAGCTACAGGAAATCAACCTTACGGTGTTTCCTCCAAAGCTATGGGAGATCAACCTGATGGACCTTCTCTCCAAATATACAGGAGATCAATGTGATGGTGTTTCACTCCAAAGCTATGGGACA